CAAACTCCACTGTTTTTTTTGGTCGGATGCAATGTCTGTTGGCAACGACAGAGCTCCATAACATGCTGAGGGAAAAATGTTGACCCGGTGTCCCTGTGCTCTCATGGCAACTGTATTCTGTAAATACCGTACCCCAAGTGTGTCTGTTGCTCTTTCCAGTACCTGTCGGTATTGCTGGGTCAAGGCGATAATCTGAAAAGTTAGGCGAATGAAATTCTCCTTCTAGAGATCACCTCCTCAACTGTGCCCCGCCAGCTCCGTCATAAAGCTTAGTGCTTCCTATTTGGACAAGGTGACTCAAGTGGCTTTAAGAAAATGTGTACTGTTCGAATAACACTCATGAGCCAAGTATTCGTCTATAGGGAATTCGTACAACGATAAAACACCGCCTGCTACAGACTGAGTAAGATGCAAGGCGAGCCGGTCAACAATTATTGGAAGCTAGTCCAATGTGCCAAGTCTCGAGTGCTTATGGAGTTACCTAACGGTTTTCTTGGTCAAGGATCTCGGTGTCTTGGAAAGCGAAGGCCTGCCTATCGTTCTCACAGCGTTTCGTCACCCACGAGAGCTGGTCCATCCTTCTAACTCTCCCTGTATGTTCACCCATATGGGTCTGAAGTCATTGTTTCACCTTCTGCTCCTTAACATGGCCTATACCAAATTCTTACATGAGATGCATGGCACGTTTCTAATTAAAATCCATTTTGATTGAGAGTTAAACAACACATTAACCAACGGCAGTTTGTACATTTTCTCCTTCAAAAAATGCTCTGATTGTCTGGAAATGCAGATTATGCAGTATGTATATAAATTTCATCCGCTTTGCCTTCGCACATAGGCTAGAATTTCCAACGCAGGTAAGAAGTACTTTGCGTTTCTTATTTGATTCGCATTTTCCCCCTTCTTTTTACATAAGCTTCATTGCACTTCTACGCTGTCTTTTTTCCCCACCCTTTATTTTAGCTCCTCCCCGATAAGATCACCGCACAGCAGGAGAAACTGAAACAGGAAATGTTAGGACAGTTGAAACAACTGGGCAACATGGTGCTCAAACCGTTTGGTCTTTCCACTAACAATTTTAAATTAACTCAAGATCCCAACACCGGTGGTTATTCCATCAATTTCACACAAGGTACTTAAACTTGACAATTCCCGTCCACTACCACCTATGTGGAAACCCAGTGCCAATGTGTCCCTACTGGTGTTTCCTTGTACTTATAATTTTGGTTGTACAATTGTTCTTCGCACCCGCGAATTCATCTCACCGCCTCCTTTGACCGGCTGTTTCTTGCTTTCATTGACTTATTTTCTCTCCTGCTTGCTGGTTGACTCAGGCTATAATTCTACAAGCTGTACAGTATCAATGGGACTTTTATTTCAAGTGCTGGCAGAAACACGAAGTCTATCTAAGTGGTTTAAATCGACCCATCTGTGTGAGCGAAGT